GGGGGGGGCTCTAAACGGAACAAAGCAGCAAAATAAAAAATAATAATAATAAAAAAGGAAATAAACCCCCTGACGCTCGTCCTTTTTGTGCGATTTTTGGGGTGGCTCGGCCGGGGAGATCCCGGGGAAGTCGCGGCTGGAAGGGGAAGGAGCGGGAATACGGGATGGGCAGAATCGCGGCGCGGCCGCTCCCCCAAAAAAAACCCCCCAAAACCCAAAAAACCCCCGCCGATCCCGGAGGCAGCCGGCAGCACCCCCGGCTCCGGGCAGGCCACGCCGCCTCTTGTTGCATCCCCGCGGCTCCGCTCGGCCGCATTTTGGGGCTGCGGAGCCGAAAACTTTTCCTCCGCCGGGAGAGCGGCAGCGGCTCCCTCCGGGGCGAGGCTGCGCCTTCCCGGGAGCGCGGGGGAATAAAAAGCGGGGAAACTTCCCCACATCGCGCATCCCGGATCCCGCATTCCGAATCCCGCACCTCGCATCTTCCCGCGCCCGCAGCTTCCCCGCGTCCCTCATCCTGCATCCTGCATCTTCCCCTCATCCCACATCCCACTTCTTTCATCCCGCATCCCTCATCCTGCATCTTCCCCTCGTCCCGCATCCCACTTCCTTCATCCCGCATCCCTCATCCTGCATCTTCCCCTCGTCCCGCATCCCACAGCCTCCCCAGATCCCGCACCCCACATCCTTCATCCCTCAACCTTCATCCCTCGTCCCTCATCCTCCATCCCGCCTTCCTCATCCCTCATCTCTCATCCCGCATCCGCATCTTCCCCACATCCTGCATCCAAAATCCCGCATCCTGGGCTGCACATCCTGCATCCTCCCCTCATCCCACACCCCTCATCCCTCATCCCTCATCCCACATCGCGCATCCCACATTCCCCCACATCCCGCATCCCTTATCCCACATCCCAAATCCCACATCCCACATCATCCCAAATCCTGCATCCCAAACCCCACATCCTGCATCCCTTGGGGAGTTTTTAGGGAAAGCGGGGCTGGGGACTCTCCCAGTGCATCCGAACACATTTTTGTTTTTAAAATAAATAAACGAACTTGACATTTATTTCTTAATTTAAAAAACCTGATTTTTAACAAAAACACTGCTCCAGTCTTCCCTGGAACCTCTGGAATGTCAAGAATTCCCTGGATTGTTGAGAATTCCCTGGATTGTCGAGAATTCTCCGCCCTGGGAGGCGCTTTGTCCTTTCCCGGGATCATTCCCCGACCTCTCAAGGCTTCATTCCCAAAATCGCCATTTTTTTGGGGGGTTTATTGCCAAAAAAAGGGATTTTCTCCCCAAATTTGGGTGAAGGGATCCGAGCTGGTGGCGAGGAGGAAAAATGTCAATTTATTTTTTTGGCGTTCCCAGGTTTTTTTGGGAATCCGTGCCGGTACCAACAGCTGGGGTGGGAATGGTTTGGGATTTGGGATCAGTTGGGAAATCAGGGTGGAAAATAAATTTATTTTTTAATTTTTTTCTTTTTTTGGGGGTGTTTCTGTCCCAAATCCGGGTTTGAGAGATCCTGGGAACATCGGGAATGACGGGAAATTTGGGAAAAGCCACGATCCCATTCGGGAGCAGGACATGGAACAAACGGGATCCGGCTCCAGGGGAACGTGGAGAGAATTCCCAAGCTGGGAAAATCGGGAATTGTTCCCCTGGAATTTGGCATTCCCGGGGGTTTGGATCAACCTGGGATGGGATTGAAGCTCCAGGGATCCCATCCCAAAAAATTCCGGGATTCTGGGATCAAGGATGGATCAAAATCCATCAACAGGGATTTTTATGGAATTTTTTGGGATGGAAAAGGGAAGGGAGACCCTTCCTGGAGTCCCCAATTCCCAGGGAATTCCCTGGATCCCAAAATTCCTTCCCAGAATCTCCTTTTCCTGGAGAGGATCCAGGGGTTGGAATGGGCTGGGATTGAAGCTCCAGGGATCCCATCCCAAAAAATTCTGGGATTCTGGGATCAAGGATCCATCCCCAGGGATTTTTAATGGAATTTGGAGATGGAAAAGGGAAGTGGAGTCCCGAATTCCCACGGAATTCCCAAAATTCCTTCCCGGAGAGGAGCTGGGATGGGGATGGATCCAATCCTGGAGAGCCGGGAATGGAGGGAATTCCCTGGGAAAGGGATAAAATCCCAAAAACCCTTCGAATTTGGGATGGAATTCCTGGCTGGGCTGGAATTCCCAGAGAATCCCTGGGAGTGTCCCAGGAAAGGTTGGATCCACCTGGGATGGGATTGAGGAAGAAGAAGAGCTGGGATTTTAATTCCAGCAATCCATAAAAAAAACAAGAAAAATAAAAAATTGTTATTTTTCCCCAAATCGGGGATTTTTTTAGCCCTGAGAGGGGAGGGGGTCAACAAAAAAAAATAAAATCAAAAAATTCAGGAATGATTGCAAATGGAATATCAGAAAATTGCCCCAAAATCTCTGGAATATTAAAATTTAAAAATTTGGGATTTTTTATTGATTTTTGCAGGTGTGGAAAGGAACTTTTCCCGGATACAAAATTTCGGGAAATAGGAAACTGGGGGGGGGAAAAAAATAAAAAAAAAAAATCACATTTCCACTGCCCCAAAATCCTGGGAATCAGGGAAGAGGCTGCATTCCCCTGCCTTGTCCATTCGCGTCGCCGGACAAAGGGACAGAAGGACAGAGGGACAGGGGGACAGAGGGACAGAGGGACAGGGGGACAGAGGGACAGAGGGACAGAAGGACAGAGGGACAGACGCACAAATCACAGCTCCCGCACACTCCGCGTTTTGCCGAAATTTGTCCTCAGCGCGCACCCGCCGGCGGCCGCAGAGGCTGCTGGGAGTCGTAGTTTTCAACTTAGCACAACGATTGCGCAGGCGCAGCACTGCCCCTTGCCGGAGAGGGGAGGAGGAGGCGTTCGATGATTGGCTGAGATGAGGGCGGTGGGCGGGGTTAGATGCAGTGGCGGGAATTGCGGCTGTCGGAGAGTTCGGCGCGAGCGGTACCGGTCAGAGGGGGCGGGGCAACGGCTGAGGGCAACGGGAGTGAGCGGAACCGGCCCGGCCGAGGGGAACTGGACCGAGGGGAACGGAACCGGACTGAGGGGAACGGAACCGGCCCGGCCGAGGGGAACCGGACTGAGGGGAACGGAACCGGCCCGCCCGAGGGGAACCGGACTGAGGGGAACGGAACCGGCCCGGCCGAGGGGACCCGGACTGAGGGGAACGGAACCGGCCCGACCGAGGGGAACCGGACTGAGGGGAACGGAACCGGCCCGGCCGAGGGGATCCGGACTGAGGGGAACGGAACCGGCCCGACCGAGGGGACCCGGACTGAGGGGAGCGAAACCGGACCGAGCGTCTGCGGCTGTGAGTGCCGGGGCTGAGGGGACGCGGTCTGAGGGGAACCGGCCCGGGCCGAGCGGCTGCGGGTGCCGGGTCTGAGGGGAACCGGGCCGAAGGGAACCGGACTGAGGGAAACCGGGCTGAGGAGAACCGGCCCGGGCCGAGCGGCTGCGGGTGCCGGGTCTGAGGGGAACCGGGCTGAGGGGAAGCGGACTGAGGGGAAGCGGGCTTAGGGGAACCGGGCTGAGGGGAACCGGCCCGGGCCGAGCCGCTGTGAGTGCCGGCTCTGAGGGGAACCGGCCCAGGCCGGGCGGCTGCCAGTGCCGGGTCTGAGGGGAACCGGGCTCAGGGGAACCGGCCCGGGCCGGGCGGCTGCCAGTGCCGGCTCTGAGGGGAACCAGCCTGGGCCGAGCGGCTTGCAGGTGCCGGGTCTGAGGGGAACCGGGCCGAAGGGAACCGGGCTCAGGGGAACCGGCCCGGGCCGGGCGGCTGCCAGTGCCGGCTCTGAGGGCTTAGCGGGGCTGCGGAAGCGGCTGAGGCGGCCAAGCCGCTCCGCTCCGCCCGAGGGCTGGGAGCCCTAGGCAAGGAGCAGGGAAAAGCCGGGAGTGAGGGAATGGTGGGTGAGGGTGGGAAAAGGGGCTGAGGTGGGGAGGGGAAGGGGGGCTTGGCTGGGGAGGGGGTTTGGGTGAGATCCTGGTGGGAGCTGGGTCTCCTGAGGGGCTGCTGAGCTGGGAAAAGGGGCTGGGAATTAGGTGAGATCCTTTGGGAAGTGCTGGGGCTGAGGGGCTGCTGGAAGTGGGGAAGGGGACGAGGGCTTGGCAGGGAAGGGGAAGGAGCTTTAAGCAAGAGGCAGGGAAAGGCTGGGAGTGAGGGAATGGTGGGTGAGGGTGGGAAAAGGGGCTGGGGGTGAGGTGACCAAGGGACCCGAGGTGGCCAAGGGGTCTTGGGTGAGGAATGGGGAAGAGCTGCGCCTGAGGAAGGGGCCTGGAGCAGGGGAAAGGGGCTGAGGTTGAGGGGGGCAAGGGGTCCTGAGGTGTTGGAGCTGGGGCTGAGGGGCAGCGGGATGGGAGAGGGAAGGGGAAGGATTGAGCGGGATGGTTTTTATTGGAGGTCGGGGTTTGGAGCTGCTCTGGAAAGGAGTGAGGGGCTGGGAGTCAGCTGGGAGAGGGCTGAGTGAAAAGATGGGATTGGGGAAAGGAGCTTTGGGGATTTGGGAACGGGGCTTTGAAGGCAGCAGCAGCAGGTGGGGTAGGAAGGATTGAGGGATTGGGGAAGGAATTAATGGGGTTTTTTGGGATGAATTTGGGATGGTGTCGAGGAGCACCAGGAGAAGGAGAATGAGGGGCTGAGAAGGAAGCAGGGAAGGAGGGATTGCAGTGGATAATGGAGAGAGGAATAACCTGGAATGGGGGTCTGGGAGCGGGAAGGTGAAGTCCAGGGTGAGCTGGGGAGAGGGATGAGGGGCAGGAAATTGGTGCTGGAAGCACAGGGACGTGATGCAGCCATTTTTGGCCAAGACACTTCAGCGCTTCAGAGCCCAGCAGCGCTCGTGGCGGCTTGGTTTATTGGAAAGTCAATAGCGGTGTCCCAGGAGGTCCGGCCTCCCCTCCGCCCCCCGCGCCGGGAACGTGCCCGCCGAGCCTCCCTCCTGCCTTCCCCAGCTCCCCACGGATCGATGGCGCTTCCCGGGAGGCCGGATCCCGCTGTGCCGCCGGGACCGTGCCGGGAGCGGCCCCAGTTACCATGGATATGGCTGGGCTGCCTCTCCTCAGGAAACCGTTGGGGAGGAGAGCTTGAGTTCCAAAGTTTGTTGTTTTTGTTTTTTTTTTTGTCCTCCGCCAGGTTTTGCTGCCATGAATCCCGACCAGCCCTGAGTCCCTGAGGGCGGGATGGCTGAGCAGGAGGCCAAGTACAGCGTCCTGCGCGAGGTGGGGCGCGGCAGCTACGGCGTCGTTTACGAGGCCGTGGCCAACCGAACCAAGCGGCGCGTGGCCGTCAAGAGGATGCCCTGCAACGCCCCCGAGAACGCGGAGCTGGCCCTGCAGGAGCTCTGGGCCCTGCGGAGCGTCCGGCGGCAGCACCAGAACGTGCTGCAGCTGGAGGAGTGCGTCCTGCAGCGCGGCCGCCTCTTCCAGCCCCTGGAGGAGCGCGGCTCCGGCAGCCACCTGCCGCTGGTGGAGACGTGCCTGACGGGCCGGAGCCGCGCGGAGCCGCGCTCGGCCTGCTCGCTGTGGTTCGTCACCGAGTTCTGCGAGGGCGGCACCATGAACGAGTTCCTGCTGGCGCGCAGCCCCGACGCGCGCCTCAACGGCAGCTTCATGCGGCAGCTCAGCAGCGCCGTGGCCTTCCTGCACCGCAAGCGCATCGTGCACCGCGACCTCAAGGCCGACAACATCCTGGTGGCGCACGGCCGCGCCGGGCCCGTGGTCAAGGTGGGCAGGGCTGGGGGCAGGGAGGGACTGGAGGTGTGGTCTGAGGGGTTGGGGGTGTCCGGCTTGGGGAAGGGAAGGATCCGGGGACTCCTCAGAGCCTTTCCGGGAGCTGGGGGTGTTCACCTGGAGAAGGGAAGGATCCGGGGACCCCTCAGAATGTTTCCTGGAGCTGGGCGTGTCCGGCTTGGAGAAGGGAAGGATCCGGGGACTCCTCAGAGCCTTTCCGCGAGCTGGGGGTGTCCAGCTTGGAGAAGGGAAGGATCCGGGGACTCCTCAGTCCAGGAGCTGGGAGTGTCCAGCTTGGGGAAGGGAAGGATGCAAGGAGAGCTCAGAACCTTTCCAGGAGCTGGGGGTGTCCAGCTTGGAGAAGGGAAGGATGCAAGGAGAGCTCAGAACCTTTCCAGGAGCTGGGGGTGTCCAGCTTGGAGAAGGGAAGGATCCGGGGACTCCTCAGAGCCTTTCCAGGAGCTGGTGGTGTCTGGCTTGGAGAAGGGAAGGATGCAGGGACTGCTCAGAGCCTCCTTCCAGGAGCTGGGAATGTTCACCTGGAGAAGGGAAGGACTTAGGAACTCCTCAGAGCCCTTTCCAAAGGCTGGGAGTGTTCACCTGGAGAAGGCCTCAGAATGTTTCCTGGAGCTGGGCGTGTCCGGCTTGGGGAAGGGAAGGATGCAGGGACTGCTCAGAACCTTTCCAGGAGCTGGGGGTGTCCAGCTTGGGGAAGGGAAGGATCCGGGGACCCCTCAGAATGTTTCCTGGAGCTGGGCGTGTCCGGCTTGGGGAAGGGAAGGATGCAGGGACTGCTCAGAACCTTTCCAGGAGCTGGGGGTGTCCAGCTTGGGGAAGGGAAGGATCCGGGGACCCCTCAGAATGTTTCCTGGAGCTGGGCGTGTCCGGCTTGGGGAAGGGAAGGATGCAGGGACTGCTCAGAACCTTTCCAGGGAGCGGGGGGTGTTCACCTGGAGAAGGGAAGGATCCGGGGACCCCTCAGAATGTTTCCTGGAGCTGGGCGTGTCCGGCTTGGAGAAGGGAAGGATCCGGGGACTCCTCAGTCCAGGAGCTGGGAGTGTCCAGCTTGGGGAAGGGAAGGATGCAAGGAGAGCTCAGAACCTTTCCAGGAGCTGGGGGGGTCCAGCTTGGGGAAGGGAAGGATCCGGGGTCCCCTCAGAATGTTTCCTGGAGCTGGGCGTGTCCGGCTTGGGGAAGGGAAGGATGCAGGGACTGCTCAGAGCCTCCTTCCAGGAGCTGGGAATGTTCACCTGGAGAAGGGAAGGACTTAGGAACTCCTCAGAGCCCTTTCCAAAGGCTGGGAGTGTTCACCTGGAGAAGGATCCAGGGATACCTCAGCTAACTCCCAACTCAGGATCCCAAGAATTCCCACAGATCATTCCTTAGAATCCTAAGAATTCCACCTGGCTCATTCCCAACTCATGATCCCAACAATTCCACCCAGCTCATTCACAACTCAGGATCCCAAGAATTCCACCCTGATCATTCCCAACTTGGGGGTGTCCAGCTTGGGGAAGGGAAGGATCCGGGGACCCCTCAGAATGTTTCCTGGAGCTGGGCGTGTCCGGCTTGGGGAAGGGAAGGATGCAGGGACTGCTCAGAACCTTTCCAGGAGCTGGGGGTGTCCAGCTTGGGGAAGGGAAGGATCCGGGGACCCCTCAGAATGTTTCCTGGAGCTGGGCGTGTCCGGCTTGGGGAAGGGAAGGATGCAGGGACTGCTCAGAACCTTTCCAGGAGCTGGGGGTGTCCAGCTTGGGGAAGGGAAGGATCCGGGGACCCCTCAGAATGTTTCCTGGAGCTGGGCGTGTCCGGCTTGGGGAAGGGAAGGATGCAGGGACTGCTCAGAACCTTTCCAGGAGCTGGGGGTGTCCAGCTTGGGGAAGGGAAGGATCCGGGGACCCCTCAGAATGTTTCCTGGAGCTGGGCGTGTCCGGCTTGGGGAAGGGAAGGATGCAGGGACTGCTCAGAACCTTTCCAGGAGCTGGGGGTGTCCAGCTTGGGGAAGGGAAGGATCCGGGGACCCCTCAGAATGTTTCCTGGAGCTGGGCGTGTCCGGCTTGGGGAAGGGAAGGATGCAGGGACTGCTCAGAACCTTTCCAGGAGCTGGGGGTGTCCAGCTTGGGGAAGGGAAGGATCCGGGGACCCCTCAGAATGTTTCCTGGAGCTGGGCGTGTCCGGCTTGGGGAAGGGAAGGATGCAGGGACTGCTCAGAACCTTTCCAGGAGCTGGGGGTGTCCAGCTTGGGGAAGGGAAGGATCCGGGGACCCCTCAGAATGTTTCCTGGAGCTGGGCGTGTCCGGCTTGGGGAAGGGAAGGATGCAGGGACTGCTCAGAACCTTTCCAGGAGCTGGGGGTGTCCAGCTTGGGGAAGGGAAGGATCCGGGGACCCCTCAGAATGTTTCCTGGAGCTGGGCGTGTCCGGCTTGGGGAAGGGAAGGATGCAGGGACTGCTCAGAACCTCCTTCCAGGAGCTGGGAATGTTCACCTGGAGAAGGGAAGGACTTAGGAACTCCTCAGAGCCCTTTCCAAAGGCTGGGAGTGTTCACCTGGAGAAGGATCCAGGGATACCTCAGCTAACTCCCAACTCAGGATCCCAAGAATTCCCACAGATCATTCCTTAGAATCCTAAGAATTCCACCTGGCTCATTCCTAACTCAGGATCCTAAGAATTCCACTCAGATCATTCCCAACTCAGAATCCCAAGCATTCCACCCAGGTCATTCCCAACTCAGAGTCCCAAGAATTCCAACTAGATCATTCCCATCTCATGATCCCAATAACTCCACCCACCTCATTCCCAACTCAAAATCCCAAGCATTCCACCCAGGTCATTCCCAACTCAGAATCCGAAGAATTCCACCTGCCTCATTCCTTAGAATCCCAAGAATTCCACCCAGCTCATTCCCAACTCATGATCCCAAGAATTCCACCTGGCTCATTCCTAACTCAGGATCCTAAGAATTCCACTGAGATCATTCCCAACTTACGATGCCAAAAATTCCACCTAGCTAACTCCCAACTCATGATCCCAAGAATTCCACCTGGCTCATTCCCAACTCATGATCCCAAGAATTCCACCCAGCTCATTCCCAACTCAGAATCCCAAGAATTCCACCCAACTCATTTCCAGCTCAGGACCTCAAGAGTTCCACCCTGCTCATTCCTAAATCAAAATCCCAAGAATTCCACCTAGATCATTCCTTAGAATCCCAAGAATTCCACCCAGCTCATTCACAGCTCACGATCCCAAGAATTCCACCCAGCTAACTCCCAACTCAGGATCCCAAGAATTCCACCCAACTCATTTCCAGCTCAGGACCTCAAGAGTTCCATCCTGCTCATTCCTAAATCAAAATCCCAAGAATTCCCGCAGATCATTCCTTAGAATCCTAAGAATTCCACCTGGCTCATTCCCAACTCATGATCCCAAGAATTCCACCCTGATCATTCCCAACTCAAGATGCCAAAAATTCCACCTAGCTAACTCCCAACTCATGATCCCAAGAATTCCACCTGGCTCATTCCCAACTCATGATCCCAAGAATTCCACCCTGATCATTCCCAACTCAGAATCCTAAGAATTCCACCCAGCTCATTCCCAACTCAGAATCCCAAGAATTCCACCCAGCTCATTCCCAACTCAGGATCCCAAGAATTCCACCCAACTCATTTCCAGCTCAGGACCTGAAGAGTTCCACCCTGCTCATTCCTAAATCAAAATCCCAAGAATTCCACCTAGATCATTCCTTAGAATCCCAAGAATTCCACCCAGCTCATTCACAGCTCACGATCCCAAGAATTCCACCCAGCTAACTCCCAACT